GCTTTTATAATAACAGCCTCTCTACTCTTCCTGTGCTGGGCCTCCCTTACTAATTTTGTGTTGGGAATTAGTAGACCATTGATGCCGGCCTCTGCGAACAAGATGTCCAGAACTCCGCGTATGACTTTTTTTCCATCGGGGGTCCGCAAGCTGCAGCCACGGAAATTATTTCTTTTTGTAGTGCGTTTAGTCGTCCTGTTAATTTACGAACACCATCCACGAGTAGATTTAACTTAGTCGAGGAATCGCTCCCGCCAAGGAAAATTACAAAGCAGTTCTTTCTGCTATCAGCCGAGTCCACTCCGTCTATTGATATACTGTTTGAACTGTGTAGCTCCAATAGTTCTCCTCCGCTCAGCTTTTTCTTGGTGATTAAATCACGTGCTGCGGGATTTCTAGCCATGGTCTGACGAAAAATGTTTTCTTTTGTGCCCTCTTCATCAATAATAATAAGAGAACATCCTTCCTGGGAAGGAGCAAAAATGCTACCATTAGTGATCTTTGTGGATTAGGAAGCACATTCAGGCCACTGGTTTTTCGCCAATCTAATAATTTCGTTATTAGAGATCACTTTCTTTTTCAAATCTCTTATGAGTGCTCCCTGAATAGCCTCCTCTTCTTCTTTTCTAATGTTTTCACCACACTTTAGGCATGTTTTCCCAGTGGTTTGGTTTACTGTCTGTGCGTTAGTGACAGGCGCCTGGACTAGACGTGGTAAGATCTCCTGCATCGCTATTGTTTCTAGTAAAAATTTAACGCTTGTTAGTTCCTCAACAGCGCTCTTTTCTGCCTCGAGAACAGTTTGGTTTTTTGTCAATACATCGACTAATTTCATCATTTTTTTAATAGCTTGGAGGCGTAAAAGGGAGGGAGTAAAATACTCCCATTTCCATCTTTTGTCCTTTCTTTCTTGGACTATCCTTTTTATTTTTATTTTCGGACTGCATTGTCCCTTCATCGAATACGAGGTCGTACATACCAGTGTTAGGTACACTGTATCTACGCTCGAGCGTGTCACGTACTGCCATTCATCCATTAGCACGGTCGACACCTTGGATTACGCCTGGTTTATCAGAGGTTTGGTCCTCTTAGAAAACAGCCGCCCGTCTCGGGTCAGACGCTGACTCACCTACCGCCCGCTCCGGGTCAGTCGTATACCGCCGACACATGAACGCATTAAACAAGTCGCAACAGAGACATCTTAGATAACTCTTAAGAATCAAATGTTTTCATCGTGTCTCAAAAGTATCGCTCCTTGAAAAAGCTAACTGCGAGAGTATTGAAGTCATGATTACAAGTCCCGTTTAAGATCGGCTGGTCACGTATGCAGAATGCAAGAAAACCGCATACCAAAATCTCTGCTTTACGGTGAGCTTGTAGACGGTAAGAGGAGGCCGGGTGGACAACTCAAAAGGTACAAGGATATTTTCCACGAAAACTTAAAGGGGATTAACAAGCAGAATGAGTAGGAAGAAGCAGCTCACAATAGAACGGAATGGAGAAGAATCGTAAACTCAGTTAACAGCGACAACCAAAAAGTAAAGAGGCAACAAAGCAATGAGATTTTTGAATGTCCGGAGTGCGGTAGATAGATAACATTACGTATCGGGCTTTTCAGCCACAGAAAAGCTCATGAAAGAAAACGCCTTGCGTGACCATCTTCTGATGCGTGTCAAATACTCGTCAGCGAGTAATGGCAGTATGTATGTATCTATATGTAATAGATACTTCGTATTTTTGTTCTCCGGCTTACTGAATTACCATAGCGATTCACTCCTATACGTGTAAACGCCAACCCAAGGTTTCGCTTGCCAGGATGGTATACACTGTCTAGAGGACACGGGACAAACCATAAAAAAGTATGTGTCGCAAGAATTTGTCTTATCACTAAGTCATATATTTAATACTATAATACTAGCTGAACGTTGTTTTGCCATATAAATATTTTTTATTGGATAACGACGATCTGGTATATATATGATATATGTATATATATATATATATATATATATATATATATATATATATATATATATATATATATATATATATATATATATATTTTTAAAAAGGTCCGATTAAATGAATATCTCCGAAACTAAAGTTCCCAAAAAATTCGCAATATATCTAGAAATTCATTTACCCACTAGTAGATATAAAAAGCATTTTTGGTAAACTCTGTCTCAAATAGTTTCTGAAAAATAAAATTAATTTTCTTAAAAAGGTCCGATTAAATTAATATCTCCGAAACTAAAGTTCCCAAAAAATTCGTAATATATCTAGAAATTCATTTACCCACTAGTAGATATAAAAAGCATTTTTGGTAAACTCTGTCTCAAATAGTTTCTGAAAAATAAAATTAATTTTCTTAAAAAGGTCCGATTAAATTAATATCTCCGAAACTAAAGTTCCCAAAAAATTCGTAATATATCTAGAAATTCATTTACCCACTAGTAGTTATAAAAAGCATTTTTGGTAAACTCTGTCTCAAATAGTTTCTGAAAAATAAAATTAATTTTCTTAAAAAGGTCCGATTAAATTAATATCTCCGAAACTAAAGTTCCCAAAAATTCGTAATATATCTAGAAATTCATTTACCCACTAGTAGTTATAAAAAGCATTTTTGGTAAACTCTGTCTCAAATAGTTTCTGAAAAATAAAATTAATTTTCTTAAAAAGGTCCGATTAAATTAATATCTCCGAAACTAAAGTTCCCAAAAAATTCGTAATATATCTAGAAATTCATTTACCCACTGGTAGTTATAAAAAGCATTTTTGGTAAACTCTGTCTCTAATAGTTTCTGAAAAATAAAATAATTTTTTTTAAAAAAGTCCGATTAAATAAATATCTCCGAAACTAAAGTTCCCAAAAAATTCGTAATATATCTAGAAATTCATTTAAACACTAGTAGATATAAAAAGCATTTTTGGTAAACTCTGTCCCTAATAGTTTCTGAAAAATAAAATTAATATTTTTAAAAAGGTCCGATTAAATGAATATCTCCGAAACTAAAGTTCCCAAAAAATTCGCAATATATCTAGAAATTCATTTACCCACTAGTAGATATAAAAAGCATTTTTGGTAAACTCTGTCTCAAATAGTTTCTGAAAAATAAAATTAATTTTCTTAAAAAGGTCCGATTAAATTAATATCTCCGAAACTAAAGTTCCCAAAAAATTCGTAATATATCTAGAAATTCATTTACCCACTGGTAGTTATAAAAAGCATTTTTGGTAAACTCTGTCTCTAATAGTTTCTGAAAAATAAAATAATTTTTTTTAAAAAAGTCCGATTAAATAAATATCTCCGAAACTAAAGTTCCCAAAAAATTCGTAATATATCTAGAAATTCATTTAAACACTAGTAGTTATAAAAAGCATTTTTGGTAAACTCTGTCTCAAATAGTTTCTGAAAAATAAAATTAATTTTCTTAAAAAGGTCCGATTAAATTAATATCTCCGAAACTAAAGTTCCCAAAAAATTCGTAATATATCTAGAAATTCATTTACCCACTAGTAGTTATAAAAAGCATTTTTGGTAAACTCTGTCTCAAATAGTTTCTGAAAAATAAAATTAATTTTCTTAAAAAGGTCCGATTAAATAAGATTCCATATATATATATATATATATAAGATTATTAAGATATAAGATTCCATATATATATATATATATATATATATATATATATATATATATATATATATATATATATATATATATATATATATATATATATATATATATATATATATATATATATATATATTATATATATATATATATATATTCTCTGACCTACTGAATATACATATAAAATTTCATAAAAATCGGTTAAGCCGTTTCGGAGGAGAATGGTAACTAAAACTGTGACAGGAAAATTTTATATATTATGATAGATGTAAAAACTAAACTATTTTAATTTTGTTCTTTGATTACTTTTGTATCAGTACTTTACTGTCTCAAATAGGCATATTATCAATATACAGGGTGATACGAACTGTATTCCGGAAACTTCGGCAGCATATTCTATAGATAAAAGTAAAAAAATGTCCTAAATGATTAGTTTCGGAGATACAACGTATATAAATTTCATTTTTATTTTCATTTTTTCCATTTAATTTCTGAAGTAACGTCAAGAGTCAATATTTGGATGAAAATTGGTGTCTGGGAGTTTTTTGACATGAGAAATTTGATTTTGATGTCAATATGAATCCTATTTGTAGGGGGCGCCACCTACATATGTTTTAAATGTTTTGAAGGGTAATAACTTTTCGTCCGTATCTGTATAAAACTACTGAGTGAAAAAATATACATATCCGATTTTTACGTAAAAAATGTCTCTTGGTAAAAATCGCTACGAGCAACCGTTCTTAAGATATTTAGAATGGAAATAGTCAATACATGTCATTATTGACTAAAAATAAACATGTTGAGTAGATAGTTATTCGATTGAAATGATAAATTTGGGAACTTTTTATTCTTTTAAATTAATCATAAATTTTTCTTCGAAAAAATGATGATAAAACAGTTTCTATGGAACTTTTGGCACAAAAACCTTTCAAATTTATGATTTCAGTCTAATAACTATTTAGTCAATAAGTTTAATTTATGTCAATGATGACATGTATTGATAATTTCGATTTCAAATATCTCGAGAACCATTACTTGTAGAGATTTTTACCAAGAGACCTTTTCTTACGTAAAAAACGCCCTCTACAAGTAGGAGTTATATTGACATCAAGATCAAATTTCTCATGTCAAAAAACTCCTAGATCTCTCTAGAAACTCCGAAACCAAGCATTTTAGGACATACATTTATACGAACTTTTTTACTTATTTTTGTCTGCGGAATATGCTGACGTAGTTTCCGGAATACAGTTATTGAAGCACCCTCTATAAGAAAAAAATAATGAATAACTATGCCATATAATTATTTATATATAAATATGTATTATACAATACAATTATTTACATAATAATTTATCATGTTTTGTTTCAGAAAAAGAAAAATATCATTGTACAGATCCTTTATTTAATCCTGCATTAGTTGAACAGTATGACACTCCAGGAATTCATGAAATGGTTTTTCAATCCATATTTAAATGCGGACTCGACTTAAGGAGGGATTTTGCTAACAACATTATCCTTTCTGGAGGTAATACAATGCAATATTTTTTAAGATAACAGCTAACACTTTTTAATATTAAAATAGGTAACACCTTATTTAATGGGTTTGAAAACAGACTGAAATTAGAAGTTGAGGCAAAAGTACCTGCCAGCATGAAGGTCGATGTTATTGCGGATAAAGACAGAAAAGTGTTTGTGTGGAGAGGTGGTTCAATTTTAGGATCATTAAGCACCTTCTATAAAAATATTTGTATAACAAAGGGTGAATATGAAGAATATGGAATGTCTGCAGTTAGAAAAAGATGTAACCGCGGCATATAATATTCTAGTATACAGGGTGGTCCGAATTGTAATCCGAAAACTTCGGCAGCATATTCTGCAGATAAAAATAAGTAAAAAAGTTCGTATAAATGTATGTCCAAAAATGCTTAGTTTCGGAGATACAGGGTGTAGAAATTTCATTTTTATTTCGATTTTTTTCCAAATAATTTTTGAAGTAACTTAAATATTTGGATGAAAATTGGTGACTAGGAGTTTTTTAACATGACAAATTTGATTTTGATATCAATATGACTCCTATTTGTAGGGGGCGCCACCTACATGTGTTTTAACTGTTTTGAAGAGTAATAACTTTTCGTCCGTACCTGTATAAAACTACTGAGTGAAAAAATACACATTTCCGAGATTTTCTACGTAAAAAATGTCTCTTGGTAAAAATGGCTGCGAGCAACCGTTCTCAAGATATTTAGAATGGAAATAGTCAATACATGTCATTATTGACAAAAAATAAAAGTGTTGGGTAGATAAATTATTTGACTGAAATAATAAATTTTGGAACTTTTTATTTTTTTTTAATTAATCATAAATTTTTATTCGAAAAAATGATGATAAAACAGTGTCCGTTGAACTTTTGGCACAAAAACATTTCAAATTTATGATTTCAGTCTAATAACTATTTAGTCAACATGTTTAATTTATGTCAATGATGACAGGTATTGGTAATTTCGATTCAAAATATCTCGAGAACCATTACTCGTAGCGATTTTTACCAAGAGACTTGTTTTACGTAAAAAACGTCGTAAATGTATATTTTTTACTCAGTACTTTTATACAAGTACGGACAAAAAGTTATTACTCTTCAAACCAGTTAAAAAATATGTAGGTGGCGCCCTCTATAAGTAGGAGTCATATTAACATCAAAATCAAATTTTTCATGTCAAAAAACTTCTAGACACCAATTTTGATCCAAATATTGACGTTACCTCAAAAAATATTTAGAAAAAATCGAAATAAAAATGAAACTTCTACACCCTGTATCTCCGAAACTAAGGATTTTCGGACATACATTTATACGAACTTTTTTATTTATTTTTATGTGCAAAATATGTTGTTGAAGTTTCCGGAATACAGTTCGGACCACCCTGTATATTTATTTACCAAGTAAAAGCAATAATTATTTTTCTAGTGTTTCGTTACCATTAAGGCGTTTATTGTTTTGTGTTCATTTATCGTTAGTTTGTTTTATATTACATTTATATTTAAATTCTATGTACCAAATTATATATACGTCGTACAAAATAAAAACCCTTGCATGTCATCGAGCACGTGCGTTGATTGTAGACAGCATTGTTGCCAGATTGTAATCGGAAGAGAAATATTTTTGAAAAATTTACTATATCTAAGATCTATTAAAAATTCTAAAATAAACTTTAAATTGTTAACAGTTTTAAAAAAAATCGCTGAAAAAAAAATTAAACAAAACATGTTTTTTTTATTGTTTAAAACAAATTTTTATGGTTTTAAAGAACATTGTAAATGCAAAGTCGAAAATATGTTTACAACACTTTTATACTCTGTTTTAAACCATATCATGTTGAGTAATGATAAAGCCAAAGGACAAAACTTAATTCGATTTTAGAAACCTTAATGGTGCTCCTCCAAGTAGTAGTACAGAATTAATAGTTTATTTAGACAATATTAAGGTGAGCTGATTACTCTGTTTTTTATTCCTTTTGTATTACAGTTGTTTTTTTATTTTGAAAGGGTTTTTCTCATTTTTTATTGAAATATACACCGATACACCAAACCTATTTAATACTCTGTTTTAAACAAATATTTAAAACAAGTAATGGTGTCTTAAAAACATTGTTTTAAACATTTTGTTTAATTAATAACAGTCTAGGTTTTGGGCAATTCAAAATATTATCTATTATAAAGAGTGGTAAATGATTATAAAATATATAGGCAACTTTTTGAAATATTCCAAGAATTAATAAGTATTTTCCATAGAAGATTAGTAGGTTTTGTTTCTCAAAATAAAAAAAAACTCACTTCACTGGTCTACTTTAAAATACTTTATTATAATATAACGGGCCGTTATTGTCCCTTTCTTTCTCAAAATATTGTATCAGAGATGACACTAATTCTTGGCACCGACTATTTAACTGCTTAGGCATTTTTCAAAAAAAAAACTAACAACTACTACACAAAATATTCTGAAAACAACAGTTTTCGATCGATAGATAAAGGTTTTAAAAGATTCAATACACCAAAGACACAACTCTCAACTAACGTTCAGAAAATTCTGGCAAATGTCAAATAAACGTGGCACCGCTGCAACCGCTTCCTCGCCGTTGCCAACAAAATATCGAGTGGGAGATTTAAAACTCATTGAAAACGTCCCATAAGGGCTATATTTGTGTAGTGGTAGTACTGCACACATTTATTAGCCTAATCGATAGCCCGCAACGGTTTTTATTTTGTACAACGTATAGTTATAGTTTATTATTATATTTTTTAGATATTTACCTATTTTGTGAGTGGGCTAGTCATTTTGTATCTTATATGTAAGACTCACAATGTCAAGTAGTTAAGATTTGAATATATACTCACTGGTACGAAAAACGGGCACCTAAAAATTTTGATGCATTTTAAAGCTTTATATATTGTGTTCTAGTGGACAGATTTTGATGATTTTTTAAGCAATTTGTAGCTGAATTATTTGACTTTTTAGTGTATCTTTCTAAATTCAAAATTAAAGTTCTCATGAGAGAAAAAAGAGGTGCCCGGTGGCGGAGAGGTACAGGCTTTCGTCTACCAATCTGAAGGTAGTGGGTTCGAATCCCACACCCGGCATTTTGATCAGCCGACTATTTTTATTAAAATAAAAATAGTTTGGGTACCTAGGTCGACTCAGCCTTAAATGAGTACTTGGGATTCACAATCCTGAGGTAATAATAGGCGGTTGAAGCGTAGTGCTAGCCCACATTACCTTCCTTGTATACCGAACGGCTCTAGTATGGCAAGCTGTACCTTGCTACTCCCAAGGCGTTAAACGCTATATACGGGAGCTATTATTATTATATGAGAGAAAAAAAAATGTTCATTTTTTGGTGAATGTTTGAAATACCCTGTGGTATATGTTAACAAAGCAAGGTATTTAAAAAACATTTTATTATCTAGGTGCATCTTTTCTCCATAGTTTGTTTTTTGATTCGTTTTGATTCTTTTGAAGTCGTTTCAAAGAAGAAGACAACAGCTAACACTTTTTAATACTAAGACATTTTTATGTTTTTCATAATTTTTACATTAAAACCATGCCTTTCCTTTTGGCCCTAGTCAACAGACCTATGAAATAGTGTTTATGATTTATGTAATGTCACTGTCATTGGAAAATATTATATGAATATTATTTGATATTATTATTGTCTGTTGGGCAGGTACTCAAGCAGAGATGGTTTTATCTAGAAATTGATATCTACCATGTTCAATTAATGCAACAATAGTGGATACAACAACAAAAACGATAAACTCAATTTCATAGGTGTGTGGATGAGGACCAAAGGCAAAGGCATGCTTTTAATGCTAAAAACGCTGTAAAGCTTGATTTTCATGCATCCGTTGTCCGACGATACGATGATACAATATTAATTTTATTGGTTGAATTTAAAGACTTCGGTTGGTTAGAAACGGTTAACCAATTGAAGACTTTAAATACAACCAATCAAATTAATATTGTATCAACGTATCGTCGGACAACGGATGCATGAAAATCAAGCTTTAATCGTTACTGTCTTCTTCAAAAGTGAATATCTTTAATAAAAATAAAGCTATTGAGATGAATGACAACTAAAAACTAACTATCGAGAAAAGATGTACGTAGATGATAAAATTATTTTTAGGTTCCTTGATTTGTTAACATATTCCACAGTGTGTTTCAAACTTTCCCAAAAATATCAAAATTTGTTTTCCCTCAGATAATTGACAGATAGGAACTTTCATTTTTAATTTAGAAAGAAATAATGAAGTAAAATAATTTAGCAACAAATTGCTTAAAAATCATCAAAATTCGCCCACTAGAACAAAATACATTAAAGTTTAAAATCAAAATTTTAAGGTGTCCATTTTTCATGCCGGTGAGTGTATATTCAAGTCTAAAATCTAACTGAAATACTGGACAATGTAGTTTATATTTTTTCAATTTAAATATTCTTTTTATAATGCGGGTAATTAATAATCATTCCATTCTTATGATATAAATCTAAACAAAATTTGTTACCGTTTTTTTTTTAATTAAAATACTACAATATCTATATTGTTTAAGGAATATAAATATATAATTTTTTATACCACAGTTATTGCATTTGCTATTTCATTAAATACCTTTGCAGATGGTGAATCAGGAATTTCTTTTACACAAGCCTTTCCTAGAAGTCCTCCAACTCTTGGATCAATGGGTAAAGATCCCAAAAGTGTTATATTAGATAATTGGGCTAATGCTTCTCCTCCACCTTTACTGAATATATTAGTACACTCTGTGCAGGATGGGCATACAAATCTATTCAGAAAGTTAATACATAAATAAAATCTTAAGTTTGGTATTTCACATACTAACCCACTCATATTTTCAACTAAACCAAGAATTGGAATGCCTGTTTTCTTACAAAATGTAATCTCTTTTCTCACATCCTCAATGGAAACTTGTTGTGGAGTAGTAACTATAATTGCACCATCACATTTTATGTTTTTTAAATTCTCCATAACTGTTATATGCTCATCGGAAGTACCTAAACAGTAAAGTATTTAAATTAAAAACTGTATAATCACAAAAATACTGTAATACACGTATATTATAGTAAATACATACCAGGTGGAGTATCAATAATTAAATAATCCAGTTTACCCCAGCATACATCTGTCAGAAACTGTTTTACCATTGAAGTTTTCTTTGGACCTCTCCATACTACTGCATTGTTTCTGTTGTTTAACAAAAAACCTATTGACATTACTGCTAAATTCTGTTTCTCATCTGTATAAACAGGCACCCACCTAAGATAATATGCACAAAAAATAATTAATTTAATTTAAGCCATTTACCAAATTTACCCAGAATCTGATTGATGGACATCATTGCCTTCTAATTGTAACAAATAAGGAATACTGGGGCCACAAAGATCAACATCTAGAAGTCCTACCTATAAAAAGAACTCAATAATCAACAGTTTTCAAAAAATAAACTTTGTACTTTTTACCTTATATCCTTTTTCTACCAGTGTTAGCGCTAATTGTGTGCTTACAGTTGATTTTCCTACACCTCCTTTTCCAGATAAAACAAGTATTATATGATTTACAGTTTCCAACATATTATAATAATGAATTTATTTCAGAGATTTATCAGAATTTTTTAAAAAAAATATTTTTATTTGACAACTAAAAATTAGGTTAGTTTCGTAGATTTTTATCTTTGTCACAAAATGGGGCAAATGGAACTTTGTTGTTTGTTGCCAGAGATATAGGTACTTCTGTATGTATATCTCTGTTTGTTGCATTTCGTAGTCTCAAAAAATTAAGAAGAATGTGGCAATAACGGCCAAAACTGTCAAAGAGGAAACAAGCGATCCAACTTCAAGGTGGTTTTTCAGCTAGCAGGAGGGGTGAGGTAAATATTTAAAATTATTCTTTTTTTCTTAATTCCCGATTAACTGAAGGGAAAATAGTTTTTTCTAACTATAGAAATGTCTATAATTATGATACCATTGAGTTTAAAAATGAAATTTAAACTACAATTGAACATTTGCTAATAATGTTTGAAAATTCACTGATACCTAACCTAATAGTGTTTGTTTACTAATTATTTTTCAATAATTTAAATTTTCATTAAATGAATACCGAATGAAGACTAATACCTTTGACTAACACCTACTACGTTGTAAAATAATACCTGTTTGGTGTTTAAAGTAAAGTGTACAAAAGTGTAAGGAAACCGGAAAATATACCACGACTCCAAAACGACAGATATCAATTGGCAAAGATCCAAAATGATAAAATTCAAATCAAGGGTTTAAAGTAAAATGTTTAAAATGGAATTTTACTTTTATTCAAACTTTATTTTTTTCAGCTCTGTTTTAAATTCTCATAAAGGCATAGGTAAAGGAGTAAAAAATATGGGTAAAGTAATAAAATAAATTAGAGGCAGAGATAATAATACACCTACTTCAGTCCATCTTCAGTCTACTTGTCTCTGTATGAGGCTTTAAATGTGTATATTAGGTCTTTGTATTAGGTTTAGGGTGGGTTTAGGTTGATCTGAATCCTTCAGATACCTATGCAGATACCTACCTGAAGGATTGCTATGGAAACAGACAGAATACACACAGAATACATATTGTACATATGTTGCATATGTCGTACATGTACACTCTATTGCCATAATATTCTTTGTAAAATAATAAAACTTTGTTTTATCCTTATTTATAGTTCTAAAAAATGGTAAATGAGAACACAAAATATCTAGGTACCTAATATAAAATTAACATAGTAGTCAGTATTATATTGTTTTAGATTCTCAGTAGATCCAAACCAGCTTTGGCTATAGGAAATGAGTCAGCAAAAAGTATAAAGAAACCTCTTAGTGATAAGAATGCTTCGCAATTTGAAGAGTTTTTATTAAAAAGAGATTACACTGGAGCTATCACATTACTTGAAGTAAATATAGAATTTGTTAAATATTGACAAAAGTAATTGTTCTGTTTTTCTTTAGTTTAAAAAATACTCAGATCAAGATTATAATGCTAGTCTTTGGATGGCTTACTGTTATTTTCATCGGGGAGATTATAAAACTGCTTTACAAATCTATAAGAAATTGCAAAAAGAAAATTCTTCCATTCTCAATTTGTCAGTCAACATTGCCTGCTGTGACTTTTACCTGGGTAAGCATAGTGTGCCAATTGTGTATTTCTTAACTTTATAATTTTAATTTTAGGTATGTACGAAGAATCCCAAGAAACTCTTGTTGATGCCCCAACAAGTGAACTTAAAACCAGACTGAATTTTCATATATCTCATAAGCTAAAAGATGAAACAACTTTAATGGAATATCATCAACAATTGCAAGATATTTTGGAGGATCAGCTTAGTTTAGCAGCTATACATTATTTGAGAGCCCATTATCAAGAGGCAATTGATATTTATAAAAGACTGTTGTTGCAAAATAGGTAAGTTTGGTAAGTTGAATAATAATAAAACATATAATTTTAAATTACGTTTTAGAGAAAATATTGCTTTAAATGTTTATGTGGCTTTGTGCTATTATAAACTGGACTACTATGATGTCTCTCAAGAAGTTTTAGGCTTATATATACATAAATATCCTGACTCTGTTATTGCAACTAATTTAAAAGTGAGAGTGTTAATATTAGTGGTACTAGTCCTCTCATTAATAAGTTTTAGGCATGTAACACTTTTCGTTTATACAATGGCACTGCAGCTGAGAATGAGTTAAGATCTATTGTAGATCAGACATCAAATGTAGGTTTTGGATATGATTTAGTGAAGCACAATTTGGTTGTTTTTAGGGATGGTGAAGATGCAATGCAAGTAAGCCATTATAAATGCCGTAAAATGGGGTGAATAGAAACAGTTTCGTAGGCTATTAGCGATATACCGGTTGATAAAAATGTGGTATTATGTTCACGAATATTTTAAAACATGGGTCTTTGTTTGTTCTTTGCGTATACATATAATTTGATTTTTGAAAAATATGCATATAAATATTAAATAAAAATAACTTTTGTGTTTCTATTCACCTGCTATTCGGGAGAATAGAAACACACATTGATGTTAAGGTTTTTATCTATTCTATTTCCAACAAGGTGATTAGAAACAGATAATTATTACATATTTAAGTAGGTTTAGCAATAATTAACAATACATATAATATAACAACTTACATGTACCAGCTTAAGTATTACTTTAAAAATAAATATTTTATTTATAAAGTTTTCGCGCCATACAAAATAGGTGATAAATCGATCTCACATTTATTGATCAGCTGATTGAGAGAAACAGTGCTGCCACAGATAAAAATATAGTTTTTACATTTTATTGTGTATTACCAATGATAGAAAAATTAGATATGTCGACTCTTTTTACTTTGAATATTTTTAATCGTGATTTGATTTTTTTCAGAAATTTTGTTTCTATTCACCCCTATGTTTCTATTCACCCCATTTTACGGTAGTAAAAATAACTATTTGTTACAATTCTTAAGCAAAATTAATTATCTTTCAGGTATTTCCAGCTTTAGTGGATATTGTTCCAGAAGCAAGGTTGAATCTTGTAATTCATCATCTCAGAAATGATGACATTAAAGAAGCTTATGAATTATTGAAGGATGTTCAACCTGCAGTGCCTCAGGAATATATTTTAAAAGGAGTGGTTAATTCAGCTTTAGGCCAAGAAATCAACTCTGTAAGTGTCACAAATATTAATTTACACATTTTAGAAAAAATTCTTTTTTAATCAGCCAGAACATGTGAAAATTGCTGAAGAATGTTTTCATCTGGTAGGAAGTTCAACCAGTGAATGTGACACCATTCATGGTAGACAGTGTATGGCTGCAGCATTCTTCTTGGCTGGTCAGTTTGAGGAAGTTTTGGTGTATTTGACTAGTATTAAAAGTTATTTACATTCAGGTAATATTATTTATTACAACCAAACCAAACTTCTATAATCTATTGTCTATTTATGACATATTATATTATTAGGCTCATTCCTTAGCCGTTTTATTCAATTATTAAACTATTTAATACATTTTAAATAATTATTGATCAGTAATTATTGATTTTTCCCTAAAAAACCTAAAGTAGTTTTTTGTTTTTTTTTATACATACTGTAATACCAGTTTGTACAAAGTTTATTTTTATATGTAATTTAGTAAATTGTTGATAAAACTTGTGTTGACAATTATCATCAATAATGTCACAAATGCTTTCATTTGACAGACTATAGCTTAAAATGGAACATATATGTATATACATGTATAATATACATGTATATTTATTTATTTTATTTTCTATACAGAGTGGTCCGAACTGTATTCCGGAAACTTGTTCTGCAGATAAAAATATGTAAAAAAGTTTGTATAAATGTATATCTTAAAATGCTTAGTTTCGGAGATACAGGGTGTAGAAGTTTTTGTTTCAATTTTTTCCAAATAATTTCTGAAGTAACGTGAATATTTGGATGAAAATTGGTGTCTGGAAGTTTTTTGATATGAGGAATTTCATTTTGATGTCAACATGACTCTCTATTTGCAGGGGGTGCCACCTACATGTGTTTTAACTGTTTTGAAGAGTAATAACTTTTTGTCCGTACCTGTATAAAACTACTGAGTGAAGAAATATACGTTTTCGTGACTTTTTACTTAAAAAACGTCTCTTGGTAAAAATCGCTACAAACAACCGTTCTCAAGATATTTAGAATGGAAATAGTCAATACATGTTATTATTGACAAAAAATAAACGCGTTCAGTAGATAGTTTGACACAAAAACATTTCAAATTGATGATTTCAGTCTAATAACTATTTAGTCAACATGTTTAATTTATGTCAATGATGAGAGGTATTGATAATTTCGATTCCAAATATCTCGAGAATTATTTGATGTTTATTAAGAGACCTTCTTTGGTAGTGATGTTTATTAAGAGACCTTCTTTACCTAAAAAACGTCGTAAATGTACATTTTTTTACTCAATAGTTTTATAAAGGTACGGACGAAAAGTTATTACTCTTCAAACCAGTTAAAAATATGTAGGTGGCGCCCTCTACAAGTAGGAGTTTTATTGACATCAAAATCAAGTTTCTCATGTCAAAAAACTCGCAGACGCCAGGTTAAATATTGACGTTAGGTACTTCATAAATTATTCACACCCTGTATATCTCCGAAACTAAGCATTTTAGGACATACATTTATACGAACTTTTTTACTTAATTCTATCTGCAGAATATGCTGCCAAAGTTTCCCGAATACAGTTCAGACCACCCCGTATAAAGTTAGACGTGTCATTTGAGTAATTCTTTCTTGCCTTCATCCACTGTTTGGTTTGTTACTATACAATCATATTATAGTAGGTTCTGAATAGATCCAATATTAGTTATATTCTCTACATGAAATGTCTCATTACACCATTTTTTCAGATGATACATTTAATTTTAACTTTGCCCAGGCTAAAACAGCTTGTAATCAATTTAAGGAAGCAGAGGATATTTTTCTTTTAATTCAAGATCCTAAAATCAAAAACGACTACGTTTATATCTCTAACCTGGCCAGATGTTATGTGATGAACAAAAAAGCACAAGAAGCATGGGATTTATACTTAAAGTTGGTCCAGTACTCTTTGACTAAAATAGTTAGATAAAAACTCATATTTTCAGGCTGGATAATAGTCCTGAAAGTTTTAATTTACTGTTACAAATAGCCAACGATTGTTATAGAATGGGTGAATTTTGGTATGCTGCTAAAGCTTTTGAGATGCTGGACAGATTGGATCCAAATCCGGAATTTTGGGAGGGTAAAAGGGGAGCCATAGTGGGAGTTTTCCAGGTAAATGTGGTAGGTTTAAATTGAATGGCATATTTCTTTTGGATTTTTATAGGGAGTGGTTGCAAAGAAATTACCTGTAGATATGTTGAGTGACGTTTTACAGCTTTTGAGAAGCAGTACATCTAGTCAAGCGGACCAAGTTGCTAAAGTTATAAGAAAATGGGCTAAAGAACAAAGAGTTAATCTTTCTTAGAAAATATGGTTACTTAAAATTTGTTATTTTAAGTTAACTTTAATTGTGCAATATGCAAAATAGAGTAGATTTATAAAAATCAAATCTTTAATCTAGCTTTAAACTGGAGCGGAACAAGAATTTGACACAATTTTACTACAGAAAGGTAAAGGTAAATAGTAAAGTAATCCATCAGTATGTCATTTAGATAGATATATTATATTGATTTTTTAATAATTTATTATAATTTTTCGTATTTCTATAAAATAAATAAAAAAAATATGATTTTAGTTTATAGTAATGTATGCATATTTGGATTACATACAGGGTGAGTTTCCTACGATGTTCTCTATGGGTATCTCGGAAACTACTGGAGATAGACAATGGGGAAAGAATTGCAGTTTTTTGGGGTCATAAATATGCGCCTTTCAGATTTTTGAAAAAGTTCATGGCTTACTAGATATTTCGAAAAAAAACAAATTTCGGCTATTTTAAAAATTGTCCCTAATTCCATTATAAGCTATTTTAGACAAAAAGTTTTCAGATAAAAGTTGTAGATAATCAAATCCTTAGTGAGACTGTGTCCTTCGTTTTTTTCTAAAGCCTATCATTTTAGACATATGACACAAACATATGTTTTTTTAAATGGAAACCATAGTTGGCCATGACTTCATAAAAAGCGCAATTTTTTAAGCTTTTCAGCGGTATAAGCTATAATATGTTCTCTTACTTTTAAATTATTGAGTTATAGCCAATTCTTATCATTCTTAAACAATTTTTCTTAGTTAGCCATGGAAACAAGTTCAATCGCCGTTGCTCTCAGAAATGTGAAGCTGTCACATCCAAACTTTGTAAATTAAAATAAATAAAAATTGTAAATATGCATTTTTCAAATGAGGAAAAGCGTGTAGTACTCGCGCATCAATAGAGTGGTTCCAACATGACTTTCTGACATATATTCTGACTTTCTATAAGTTATAAATCAAAACAGAACAAGAATACGATGCAATCTAATTGAAATTAGTCAAAAAATATAAGAATTGGCTATAAGTAAATTTAACTTTTCTAACATGTCTTGAAAACCATTCTCTAAAAAACGTAACATTCACTGGTCAACGTATCCTCGAAAATGTGTGGTCAAGAAAAGTTGAACCAATAATCCTACACGCTTTTCTTCATTAGAAAAATTCATATTTACAAAGTTTGTTATTTTAATTTACAAAGTGTCACTGTGACAGTTAGTTTTGACGTAGAAACGTCAAAAGTTGATGTCCGATCGCGACCAAATTTGGTGGGTAGGCTATGTGAGCGACGGTGTACAGTGTCCCACCCTGCAAAGTTGGATACGATGTTTCGTTTATATCTTCATCAAGGTGGGACTAAGGATTTGATATTGAAGAAAAAATGAGGGTCGATTTCGGCATAATTGGGGACGGGCTACAGGATGACGCCCTCGACGTTTCGTACCGATGCTTCTAAGTGGACGAAATCATCAGGATTTTTCTTAATTTTGGGTCGATTGGATCCAAACTTGGCACATGGTACCCGACGTGGATCTATCTCGGCACATGGTACGATGGAGTCTTCAGACGGACAGACGGTCATTTTAATACAAATTTTGTGAAAGTAAATCGAATTATTTATTAATTTTTAATTTATTACTTTTTTAACATTTCAAACTACACTTTTTCAAACATGTCTTTCAAATCCTTCAATTTAATATCTAGCTGTTAGTAAGTCTCATTTGTATACGAGCCCTAACAACTAAATGTTCGGACAAACAAAAATTTATTAAAAACCTTTATTTTCATTAACTGAATTATTTACATTTAAGAAATACATTAAAAATATATTAAAATCTAACATTTCTAATGAGTATTTAAATAGTTTAGTGCCTATAAACATTAAAATAAACTGTAGGCCAATAAATAAACAAAAATATTGCACAATATCGTGACAACTAAATGTTCGGACACTTTAAAAAATAACTGTTCTAATATGGCGTTACATCGGCATGAACTTTTGCAACCACTGCATGTTTGTTTGGCATTGCTTTTATTAATGATTGGCATACGCCAGAGTAAAAATTTTGCCATAATTCACTTAATATCATCGTCAAATGGGCAACGGTTTCTTGGGGATCGTGGCACAATTTTAGTTTTGTTTTATGCCACATGGCTCGATATGCCTCGATAACATCAAGGTCCGGAGGGGACCTTGATGTTCATGTCCTTAAACCATTTTTTAGTAGTTTTAGCCATATGGCATATATACCCCGCCATCCTGTTAAATATAAAATTCATATCCTGGTAAAGGTCTCTCGCACTTGGCACAAAACTGTTTTTCAAAATTTCTTGATATTTTGACACATTAGTTGTGCCTTTCTACCACCTCATACCTTCCTAGACCCATTGCGGACATAAACTCTAAAAGCATAATGTCTTTAGGAAATTCCACTGTCCATCTTTCATAAAGATCATGCATGCGTGCAGATGTAACCATTGAACTTGCAATTTGCGATTAGAATTATCAGCGTCGGATTGGAACTTCTGATGTCACAAACTACAAAAATGACATTAAGGTAAAATATTAATAATTCGAATCGCAAATGGCAAGTGCATGAATTACATGTGCACATGAGCCACCTTAATATCGATATAATTAACACCGCTAGAGTGTCTATTTGATAAAGATTGCCTCAAAAGGACAGTGAATTTTCCTAAAGGCATTATGATTTGAAGGAGTATGTCCAAAATAGGCCCAGAAAAGTATGAGGTGGTAGAAGGCATAATTGATGCGTCAAAAAATCAAAAAATTTTGAAAAATATTCTTGTGTCAAGTGGGAAGGACAAAGGTCCTTGTAAGCAATTGTTGTGGTAAAGGAAGACCAGGACAATAATTTTATATTTCAACAGGATGACGGGGCATGCCATACAGCTAAAACTAATAAAAAATGGTTTAGGGACATGAACATCAAGGTCCCCTCATAACGTTCGCACAATCCGGACCTTAATGTTATCGAGACATGTGGCATAAAACAAAACAAAATTTGTGCCACGATCCCCAAGAAACCGTTGCCCATTTGACGATGATATTAAGTGAATTATGGCAAAATTTTTACTCTGGCATATGTCAATCATTAATATAAACAATGCCAAACAGGCTTGCAGTGGTTGCAAAAGTTCATGCCGATGTAACGCCATATTAGAACAGTTATTTTTTAAAGTGTCCGAACATTTAGTTGTCACGATATTGTGCAATCTTTTTGTTTATTTATTGGCCTACAGTTTATTTTAATGTTTATAGAAACTAATCTTAATTTTAATTATTATTAAAATATTAATTATTAATTTTAATTTTAAATACTCATTAGAAATGTTAGATTTTAATATATTTTTAATGTATTTCTTAAATGTAAATAATTCAGTTAATGAAAATAAAATTTTTTAATAAATTTTTGTCCGAACATTTAGTTGTTAGGGCTCGTATAACTAATACTCATAACACTAAATATGCGCACATAGTGCACCCACAATTTTTTTTATTGGGATTTGTATTCTAAACACAATTTATGCGTTATTGTCAACAATTTTTTCAAATCCGATCTTATTTTGGGAGTAAAAACAGTGCAGCTTGTATTCAACAGTTAGATTAAATACTTGCAATGCCGGGAAAGAAATCCCGATATTGCCCGCGCGCCTTCAAAAAAACTGTTATTGCATTGTATCTCAGTTGAAAGTAAGCGATTAATTTACCACTAACAATCATACTTTGGGGTCTACTATTCTTCTCCATTTGCAAAAAAAACACCGAAAAGGTCCAAGAAAAAACAACCTCAAAATTCATCAGAAGCATTGGAACTCCGATACCAGGGAAGCAGATTTCCTACAATGGAAAACTGTCTTTAAACGCTGCAAAATATAGGGACTTACTTCATCTCACTAAATTCCTGGAAAACCTAGAAGCAAAGGTGTTTTACCAACATCTAATGTCTAATGACCTTTCAAAGTATAGAGGTGATAACCACGCCGAAAGCCCATTTTCATTGATTTTCTTGATATTTTTATTAGTGATTTGTTTTGGCTTTATTTTATTTTTTTATATATCTGGGGGGTCGAACTTAGTCAGTTAAGTTAGTAGTTAAAGTGGTCAAGGACCAAAGAAAGTCAAATATAAGTTTTTTAACAACGTTTCGGTCTTTTTACTCCAACTTCAAGGCTCTATCGATACATAAAAATGCGCAATCATTTTTATTTTGGCTGTTATGACCAATAAGCTACTTTTTTCTCTGCTACCGCAGACCTGAAGTGGAGTAAATAGGCTCCGAAACAACGGCAAGAAGCAGTTTGGTGTTCTTTGGTCGTTGACCACTCTACCTTTACATAAAAGTGTTCTGTCGACTGGTGTGGCTGCTAGGTAGTTGGGATTTTTTTATATTTTAGCTCGTATTTGAGTAATTTCCCTTTTATTTTATGTAAATAAAATATAATTTTTTTTTTGTTAACTTGCTCATTGTTTAAATGAAAACATCGGCTGGAGCCTCCATTTGATATGTATCATCCCATGGTGGTTAGATCTTCGGTGAGGATACTCTCTGTCCTTTCGAGATTCTTGTGTACCTAGATCTGCGTACCTAAATTTTGTAGCTGTTGATCTTGGCATATTGGCTATATAGAGATTAAAATTTAGTGAGGCTAAGACCGACCCCTGAGGCAGACTGTTGCTTAATTTTATAGCCCTACTCTAAGTTTCCTAAGGCCACCGTAAATATTGCATTGTTGCTAACCATATGCTCATTTAACTTTATTAGTCTCAATACACTGGAAAGATACAGCCTGCATACTGATGTACAAGTCCGCAGGTCGGGTCCGAAGGCCGGATCTGCAGGCCGAATTTTTCGGTGTATAGGGGGCTATTGCCTTGAGACAGGGCGGTATTTCTCGTATGAACTTACAGATCAAGCCATGTCTCCAAAATAGGTAGCCGTAAGATCAATTAATACAACGGTGTTTTTAACCATTTTTAACTGTCTTTCTTTTTGTAACTTTGTTTCTTCTTTGTAACTTCTGTTTGGTTGAAAGCCAGCCTGCTATATGTCCTCGAGAGTTTTTGAGCTTATGCGTTTGTAAATAAGTCTTTTTAGTAATTTATAAATTACGCCCAGCAATGATACAGGCCGATAATTCTCTGGTCTGTCATTGGGTTTTCCAGGTTTTATAATGGCTAAGA